TTCTCTCTCCTCTCTGTCCCCTCCACAAAACACAAATATGATGTGACAACTTGTATAGTCCGCTTACATCATTTTATTGCACTCGATCATATGGCCTTATATCCGGATGGTGGAGTTGTGCTTTCGTGACATGGTTTTGGCTAAAATTGATCCTAACCGTTAGGAGTAAGAGCTCCTTTTGAACAATGAAATTTTTGAGAAATTTTGAGGGATTGATTTTCAATGGGAAACAAAATCTTATATGGTGGTATTTGGAACAATGGAAGGCTCTCAAATTCTTTAGGATTGCCTAAAGTCATAGAACTTCTAGAGGATTTTCAACACGAGGTTTAATCTCCTGGGAAAATTTCATGTCTGCCTCATTTCCATGTTTTTCGTGCTTCATTCAAATAGTCATTACTATAGTTTTTTTTCTTGATTTTTTTCATCCATAGAATTTGATATATCAGTGCACTCTAATTCTGTTATTTTCTTATCCTTGTGTTTTGAAAATTTTGCGTTCCAAAAAGCCTGAACTTGAGTATTTCTTATTTCTGCAGAAATTAGATTATCTTCAGTAAATTGATCTTCTGTTGAACATCCCATTTGGCCTGACTTCTTTTTTCCCCCGGATCTAAATAGGAGTCATCATCAGTTGATTCAGCTGTAATAAGTAGTAGAACAGTGAATCCCTCCCGGCAGGTAGGCCATGATCAGTTCCGATCCGTCCAATGAACAAGTGCAGTTCCTGGAGAGTTTCAGATTGTTAGGTGATCATACAGGTGCTTCTGGAAAGCATCACTCGAAATCATTGTTTTATCCGGTCGCAGAGATCAGATCATTGCATAAATGAAGAACTGATTGGAGGTGTACGGTGTGATCGACGACTCTCAGCTGCCGACGGCGACTCACTTGGTTCTACTCGCGTAGTCGCGTGTTCAACACAGCACGGCACATAGACTGGTGCTCGTCGGCGGCGGTGGTTTTTGTTAGTATAACAGGAAGTTGGCTAGTACGACTGCTCACTTGTGACGATGGAGATATTAGCGTACAAAATCAAAGCTTTCTTATACTTGATTGATGATGATTGGTTGGGGGCAACTTATCATCAACATTAAAGCAATGCTCTAGCTAATCTTGACTGAGGTAAGCTTAGCTAGCTAACTCAACCAAGCATGTTTCAAAATTGTTGTGTCCCTATTTGCTCGCATTTCCAAAAGGAGTCAAAAGGACGATCGATGTGATCACATTTGATGCCACCTTTTGCAGATGCGCGGGCAAGTACTAATTTCTGAGTTTCTCCGTTGAAAACTTCCTCCTCTTCGATTTAGCGCCTGCCAATTTATTGGACAGTTGCACTACGAGCAAGTTTAATATTATAGGCAACTATGAACTCCAAATCATCTATAGCCAATATAACAGTTAATTCATACAATAGTTGCTTACTATACTATTAATATCTAGTTCCACTTGTCATACACACATTATGTCTTGGAATTCGTACTGCAACTGGCTATAAATCTATAGCCCGCTGCTCTTCTCTCTTTTCTTTTATCTCTTTAAAATATATTTATAGTTGGCTTATAGACTACTATTGTACCTGCTCTACTGTAAAATATCCATTGGACAATATTGTGATTCAGACCAGCAATTATTTTTTAAGTATTTATAAAACCTGTTAAAATGACTAGTCAATAATCTATTATTATTATTATTATTATTATTATTATTATTATTATTATTATTATTATTATTATTATTATTATTATTATTATTATAAGTTATAAACATTAACATTCTAATAATATTTCAGACATGTCAGTTACAGACTTACATATGATTAATTATTAATTTTGAAATTCGAAATTAAATTAATAAAATACTAATTTGAGAGTAGATACAACGTCATATTTATTAATTCTGAAATTTTGATAGTGTTGTTTGGATAAAATAAAATTAAAGAATACATGTTATTACCAAGTGGATTTTTTATGGGTGAATAACCAATTGCAATATTTTAGTCCATAAGGTTTCAAATGTTCAAATAAATCCTCGAAATTAATTGTTTGGCTTAACATGGTCCTTGGACCCACCAATAATACTACGTAAGTGTGTCACGTCATCCTCGTATGCATCAGTAAGGATGAAATGACCATTCTGACCTTATCTACCATATAAAAAAGAAAGAAAAGAAAACAAACCACAGGAGAAATTGGCAACGTTTATTGGAATGGTACGTTGGTGTTGCCCCATGTCGCGGCAGTGCAGCTGAACTGGAGCAATCACCGTGCAACGCTGCAACGACGCAGCCGCGCGCTGTTCGTCGGCGCCCAAACCCTATCGAGGTTTAAACAGAGAAAATAACCCGATAGGGTAATAATAGGCCAGCCTTATTTATGTTGTTTCTTTTTCCTTTTTATTTTTTCATTTTCTTTCTAACGTAGTGCTCTATCCGTCCCAAAATATAAGTATTTTTAGACTCTGACACGGTCTCCGATATACTACTTTAATCAACAATATCTATAAAAATAAGATGTTTTAAATAAAAATATTACATAATATGATAGTTTGTTTAATAATAAATCTAGTACCATCAATTTTGCATAATTAATCTTTTTTATTTTCTTTTTACTATTAATTGTCAAAGTTAAAAATATTTGACTTGTCATTATGCTGAAAATGTTTATATTTTAGAATAGAGGGAGTACATATGTAGGGTAGATTAGAATGATCATTCCAAAACCATGCCATTCATGCGAGGATGACGTGGCACGCTTATGTGGCACTTTTGATGGGTTAAGGATTATATTAAGTCATATGATTAATTTTGAGAACTTGCTTGGTTGATTTGAAATCTTAGAAACTAAACTGACCTAGAGCAAAACTTCAAAGACCGTATTGAAGGGCAAAACGAAATTCACCCATTTTTATCACAAACTCTCAGCATGATATATGATCCTATATCCACATAATCAACGATAATTATTAACAGCCATATATCATCCGCAATACCGCCCATGCAATAATTATTAACAACCATATATCACCGCGTGCAACGATATTATTGTAGAGAATCTCTTACCTTATACTCCCTCCATCCCAAAATATTTGACACCGTTGACTTTTTTAAATATATTTGACCGTTCATCTTATTCAAAAAATTTAAGTAATTATTAATTTTTTTTTCTATCATTTGATTCATTGTTAAATATACTTTTATGTATACATATAGTTTTACTTATTTCACAAAAGTTTTTTTAATAAGATAAATGGTCAAACATGTTTAAAAAAATCAACGGCGTCAAACATTTAGGGAACGAGAGAGTAGATAGATAGACGGTATATTTTGGAAGTACTTTTTCTTTTTTTGGTGAGAAGTCTATGCGTATAAATTTGATGCATGTGACAAAAATCATTCCCATAGCTTATCTTCGAATACACTACATATACAACGGCACCTATATATACATGGACAATTAATTAACCCTCGACGGATAATTGCAACCGGCCGGGCATATCCACATCTGCATCTAGCTCACTACATGCAACCATGCATGCATGCAAAGGGAGAAAAGAAGAAGAAGAAATGGAAAGAAACGGGGCGGATTTATCTTCAGAGCTCGATCGGAGAGTTCAACTCTATCTCGCTAGCGACAGAATGATTTGGTCTTCCGTATTTCTGGCCTCCTGGGCTCTGTCTAACTAAATACTCCCTCCGTTTCAAAATGTTTAACACCGTTGACTTTTTAAATACATGTTTGACCGTTCGTCTTATTAAAAAAATTTGTGAAATATGTAAAACTATATGTGCACATAAAAGTATATTTAACAATGAATCAAATGATATGAAAAGAATAAATAATTACTTAAAATTTTTAAATAAGACGAATGATCAAACACATACTAAAAAGTTAACGGTGTCAAATATTTTGAAAAGGTGGGAGTAAGCAGCAAGCATGCATGATAAAAACGATATGCATTTGATCCTGATCGAAGCGGCGCGGAAACTTGTACAACCGCACGGAATTGTGTCACATGCCACCGTTCATCTTACGTGCATTGTATATGGATCGATCGAGAGAACCACCGAACTACTCGCAGCCGCGCGCGCCCCTGCCGGGCCGGCCCGGGCCCGTACGTCCCCACGTCGCCACCGTCGTCATTTTCTTTCGCCTAACGCGTAAAAGCTTTTACATGTCGATATAATTAAGTCATCGTCATCTTCCCGATGATCGATTAATTTAATTCCTTCCTACCACGCGTCCATAAGCCTACATCCCTTTTATGGGTTACTTTGGATGATTAGCCGTACGTGAAACGAACTATAAACGTAATTAGGCTCAGATCTAAACTCCTACTTCCTACGTGTTTTTCATTAGCACGTTTCCAAACTGTTAAACCATGTTTTTTTAAAAAAATATTATGTAAAAGCTCCTTTAAAAATTCAAATGAACCTAATTTTCAAGTTTATAATAATTAATAATTAATTAATTATGTGTTAATTGCTTGCTCCAGTTTCCGTGCCTCTTGAAAGTTCAATTCCTATGCAAACAAACGAATGCTTAGGCCCAAACTACAACTTTCTCGTTTTCTATTAGTATGTTTTCCAAACAGTAAAATGGTACTTTTAAAAAAAATTCTATATAAAAGTTATTTAAAAATATTTAAATAAATCTATTTTAATTTTTATAATAATTAATATTTAATTAATTATATGCTAATGAGCCTTCTCGTTTTAAGTGCGTTGAAAATTTTTCTCTCACCAAGGAGATCGAACGGTGCCTTAGGATATGAGTAATTGAATATTTATAATTAAAAAAAATATGAAAATAGATTTCTTTAGTTTTTCTAAAATAAATTATATATAGAAAAGTTTTCGTACAAAATATAATATAATGTTTAGCAGTTTAAAATATGCTAACAAAAATCAAGAAATGAGCCAATCCAAAACGTAATTTAGAATGGCCCGTAGCCTCTCCTTGTTGATCGCCTATATAAACCGCGCCATGCGCCCCGCTTCTGAGCACACGCTGCACGTAATCGCGAACGCGCGACATGTACGCACAGCCACCGCCATTCGGTGCTCGCGCGTAATACTTAATTAACCCTCACACTACTGTAGCCACTGCTCGCTCTGCACTCTCTCTCTGTCTGCATGCAAAGCCATAATTAGGAGCCAATGAAATAGCAGTCACCGAGTCGATCAGAGCAAAACGCTCTCGACTCGATCGCGCGCGCGCGGTTGGCGGTTCCCTTCCTCCGCTCCGCTCCTCTCCATCATCGTCGTCTCTGTGTGTGTCTGTGTGTGTGTGTGTGTGTGGCAGTAGCAGCCAGATCTCGGCCCCGGCCCCGGCGGATCGAGAGACCGATCGCGTACCCCACCCATCCACATGGGGACGGAGGCCGGCGACGTCGACGGCCGCAACCACCGGCCCGGCCGCGGGTCGTCCGCGTCGTCGCGCCACCTGCACGGCGTGGGAGGCGCCTCGGCGGCGGAGGTGAACCTGTCCGGGCGCCGCCCGTTCGCGGAGAAGCTGTGGTCGGACCTCGCGGAGACGTTCTTCCCCGACGACCCGTTCCGCGGGTTCGGCGCGCTGCCCCCGGCCAGGCGCGCGTGGTGCGCGGTCAAGTACTTCGTCCCGGCGCTGGACTGGGTCCCGCGCTACGGCCTCGACAAGTTCAAGTTCGACCTCCTCGCCGGCATCACCATCGCCAGCCTCGCCATCCCGCAGGGCATCAGCTACGCCCGCCTCGCCAACCTCCCTCCAATCATCGGCCTCTGTACGTGTACTGCGCGCTCGGATTTATTACTAATGCGTTTCTGTATGCGCACGCACACCCGATGAATTAATTGGTTTTTTTTTTTGGGGTTGCCAGATTCGAGCTTCGTGCCGCCGTTGATGTACGCGGTGTTCGGGAGCTCCAACAACCTGGCGGTGGGGACGGTGGCGGCGGCGTCGCTGCTGCTGGCGTCCATCATCGAGACGGAGGTGGCGGCGGACGAGAACCCGCAGCTGTACCTGCAGCTCTTCTACACCGCCGCCTTCTTCACCGGCCTCTTCCAGACCGCGCTAGGCGTCTTTAGGTAAAAATAAAAAAAATTAAAATCAAACCCCAAACTAATCGCACTTCCATCATCTCTCTTCACTAATTCATCACTCGTTAACCCGGCCTGACGTTTTTAATTAACCTGTTATTACTATTACGTTACACTTGGCCTGTGAAGGTTAGGGCTAATAGTGGATTTCCTCTCGCGGTCGACGATCACCGGGTTCATGGGCGGCACGGCGATGATCATCATACTGCAGCAGTTCAAGGGCCTCCTGGGGATGAAGCACTTCACCACCAAGACAGACATCATCTCCGTCCTGCACTCCACCTACCATTACCGGCACGAGGTGCAATGCGAATTACCAGTTCAATTTCATCACGTAATTTAAATCTCTCCGTGATTAGTACTAGTAATGACTTCACTAAGACCTATTTTTTTAAAAAAAATAAACAAAAAACAATTCACTTCACTAGTAGGAGGAAATAAAGAAAAGTTGGGTCGTTCTTTTGCTTCTCCATACTTCTACTTCTCCCGTGTTTTCTGGACGTATTTTTGGAGTTTTTTCTTAAGAATTTTAACGGCGATTGTTCCTCGCTGTCCTGGATGTGTAACCGCTATAAATAGCATGCAGCCGCACGTTTCGAGAGGGATAAACTGCGAAGTAGTTGAGTATTTCCGAATTCCGAGGGTGTTGTTGTAACCTCTCCTGTAAACTTCTCCGAGAAATAACCGCGACTAGCGTAAGGAATCTCGACTGGATTGCAGCTAGGACTTTCTCGATTAGTATATCGGCTGGATTCGTGTCGAGTCGTTAACAACTTCAGATCAAAACAAGGTTTGCATCGATGATGCGTACGTGCAAACAAACAATAATACTATTTGGGTGTCGCTGGATCTTGTCTTTTTAAGAAAAGACCAATCATTGTTGGGCCTACAGTTTGTGCGCTGGACCGGTTGCGTGCACCGAGGAAATGCTCGGGATTGTTTTTGACGGGAAACTATTTAAAATCTATCTCAAGGGTCGTCCTTTTCATCTATTTAGGCATTGTTTAGTTTGCGAGATAAAAAGTTTTGGCGTGTCATATCGGATATACGGACATATATTTAAAGTATCTTTTTTTGGCGTGTCATATTGGATATACGGACACACATTTAAAATATTAAATATAGATTAATAACAAAACAAATTACATATTTCGCCTGAAAACTGCGAGATGAAGTTATTAAGCCTAATTAATCCATCGTTAGTAAATGTTTACTGTAGCACCATATTGTCAAATCATGGAGCAATTAGACTTAAAATATTCATATCACATTTTGCACGCAATCTGTATAATTATTTTTTTTATACTAGAAAAAATACCCGTGCGTTGCAACGGGTGAATTCTATTTTAATCTTATTATTATTATATGGTTTAGTTAAGATGAAATTCACTGTGAGAGTTCACTTGGATATATATATTTTTATAAAATCATGAGTTGCAGTTAGGAGTCCGATCATCTCAAGTTAGCATGCAAGTTTTTTTAAAAAAAACAGAATTTTTATATAATTTCTTATGTATTATCAAAAGTGAACGATTTTAAAAACCGACTCAAATAAGGATATGTATTAACAAAAGCAAACGAACTTAAAAACCGACTCATACACGGATGACGTATCAAAATACCAGCAAAAACATCTTTAATTTTTATAATAGTAGAGATTTAATACTCCATGCATATGTCGAAACATTCGATCTGATAGTGTAAAAAGTTTTTGTTGGAGAACTAAATAGTGCCTTACATGTCACTTAAATAATTATATTTTTTTATAAATTTAATAAGATACATTAATATATGATAGATCAATCCACAATTAAACTTTAATTTCTACATGTTTTGTTAGTATATGTTAACTAGCTGTAGTTTAATTTATTTTTTTAACTTGTAGAAGTTGAATTTTAAATTATATATTTATTAAGTGATATATCGCATGTTAATCCACTCTCTTTCTGTTGTACAGCCCGTAGCTTTCTGAAGATTTTTTTTACCAGCATTATATGGCCAGTACATTGGTAATACTGGTACATGCCATGTTGACCTTGGTCAATGTCATGTGAGGAATGGTACATGCCATTGCGATTTTTCAGAAACACCAGACGTGTAGCACACTAGCATATGTTCCTTTTTTTTTCTTTGTAATCGCGGGTAAATGATTTCAGAGTGGAAAAATTGCAGGAATAAGATTCTGAACTGAACCTTTTGTTTATGTTTTTTTTTAACTCTGCAGTGGAAATGGCAGAGTGCAGTTCTCGGCATATGCTTCCTCTTGTTCTTGATGTCGAGTAAGCACCTGGTAAGTGGGGGAATCAGGAGACTGATGAATCTAGCCAAACAACTGTACCCATACGCTAAGCTACTGCTTCTTTATAGAATGACCGTTTTATATTCATATAAGTTTTGTTTCTCCAAAACTTCAGAGAAAGAAACTGCCAAAGTTGTTCTGGGTGTCGGCCATTGCGCCATTCATGGTTGTCGTCATCGGAGGCATCTTCGCTTTCCTTGTCAAGGGTGACGAGCATGGAATTCCGATAGTAAGTCAGTCGTCCATGCCAAGACGATTCAAGCTTCAGAGAAACATCAATATTTTTTTTTCTGTTTTCCTGACAACATGCGCTAAAACGCTGCTTAACTTGGGACAGGTCGGTAACCTGAATAAAGGGATCAATCCCCTGTCCATTGCGCAGCTAACGTTCCAGTCCAGGCACATGAAGACGGCAGTGAAAGCTGGTCTCTTGTCTGGGATCCTAGCACTGGCAGTACGAACATGATCTTGACTCAAACTCCCTCATCAATCACTTAAACTTTACACTCTAATTCACCGGAGTTTCTGATCGGCGGCCATCGATGCTTCTCCAGGAAGGAATAGCCGTCGGCCGAAGCTTGGCGATGGTCAAGAACGAGCAGATCGACGGCAACAAGGAGATGATCGCGTTTGGTATCATGAACATCGCCGGTTCTTTCACCTCCTGCTACCTCACGACAGGTATAAATCTTGGCCTCTGCGACCTTTGTTCAGAAAACCAGAACCATGATACATTTTGCAACATTTTGTCTGACGATGTGCTGCTTGTTTCAGGGCCGTTCTCAAAGTCGGCGGTGAACTTCCACGCCGGGTGCAAGACGCCGATGTCGAACGTGGTGATGTCGGTGTGCATCATGCTGGTGCTGCTGTTCCTGGCACCCCTCTTCAAGTACACCCCGCTGGTGGCGCTCTCCTCCATCATCGTCGTCGCCATGATCGGGCTCGTCAAGGTCAAGGAGTTCTGCCACCTCTACAAGGTCGACAAGTTCGACTTCTGCATCTGCATGGTCGCCTTCCTCGGCGTCGTCTTCTTCACCATGGTCGCAGGCCTCAGCGCATCCGTGAGCATCGCCAACTTAAACCTTGATTAGATACTACTCCGTAGCACATTTCTCTGCACGATGCTGATGTGCTCCCCTTGGCTGTGCATTTTTGCAGGTAGGCTTGTCAGTTGTCAGGGCGTTGCTGTACGTGGCCAGGCCTGCCACCTGCAAGCTCGGGAACATAGCAGGGAGCGAGACCTTCCGCGACGTGAAGCAATACCCCCAAGCGAAGAGCATCCCTGGCATCCTCGTCTTGCAGCTCGGCTCTCCCATCTACTTCGTCAATGCGGGTTACCTGCGAGAAAGGTGACAGCAATGCAGGACGCTGAAGATCATCGCTGATCATTTTTTTTCTCTCTCGATTGGATGCTAATTTAACTTACCCTGCCTTGCAGGATTTTGAGATGGGTGGAAGATGAGGATAACCTGTGCAAGAGCGTCGGGCACGATCTGCAATACTTGGTTCTTGATCTTGGTGGTATGACTGTCTGAATCTTCGCCCTCTTCCATTTCAGCGTAGCGACTCTCATCCTAGAATTCAGGCCACTGATAAGTGATAACTAACTTGGCATATGTCTGAACATTGCAGGTGTCACTTCTGTCGACAACTCTGGAGTTGGGATGCTACTAGAAGTACACAAGAGCCTCGAACGAAGAGGGATCACGGTTAGCTATCTATCACGGGAAACTATTCTAATCCCTTGAGGAGATGTTCTCTCGTTTGCTTAAAAACCATCTAAACGGTTATGAAAAATTCTAGAAAAATTTGACAACATTCATATAACACATATATACAACTCCATAAAATCTTAAGTCCAAACTCAACTCACACGCCAAGATATAAAAAAGACAAAGTCAGCGTATGAATAGTAGCGTACTGTTTATATCTAAATTTGTCTTTTTTGTTTCTCGATGTGTAAATCGAATTTGAACTTGAATTTTGGTGGACTAGTAGGTATCATTGTACTCTATATTGTCAATTTTTTTTAGAAATTTTCATAACTATTTGCATCGAATTTAGAAGAAAAAGGTATACGAGGGGATATCCTCGAGGGGATATCACAGCTCATCACTCACTCTGAAGTCTGAAACTTAACCGCAGAATTTGATCTGTTTTTCACATGCTTAATTTGGTCATTGCAGATAGCTCTGACGAATCCGAGGCTAGAGGTAACAGAGAAGCTGGTGCTGTCTGGATACGTCAGGGACATCTTAGGGGATGAGTGGGTCTTCCTGACGGTCAAGGACGCCATCACGGCGTGTCGATACGCGCTGCAGATATCCAGAAATAAGGGAGAAGACGAAGTATAGGGAGCTCTTTCTTGCGTAGAGCTGTTTAGAAATTATAGGTGTAGACACTTGGGCAATGGGCAGGCAAGGCAAGCAGGACGAAATGCTCCACTATCAAAGGGTATGAGGAAGATTCAGAAAGTACCACGAGCTAGTAACAGTTTATTCAGTCGCATGGATTAAGTAGTACTTGCTAGATGCTTTGGATTGTTGGTCGATCTCTGCATGTTCTGAATTGTGGAGTATCATGGTAATTTCAGGTATTTGTTGATTAGGGGCAATGGGGAATATAGTGAGGAGGATGGAACCAGTGTTCGTGTATAGACTAGTTTATATTCTGGGTTTACAGAGAAGTTCATAGATTTGCATGTATCAGGCCTTCAGGGTTGCATTGCTCAATTCAGGGTGAAAGGCTTGTTCACTACTTGAACTGCTAGAATAATAAATTATTTAGATCAATTTTCTTGATTACTGTATGAGCATCCTCCTCCCTCAACAAACATAAATGAGAACTATCGAAAGGAAATAGACATGACACTGCACCGAATTATTTCATTTTTAAAAAAGAGAAACACACATACTGACAGGAACAATTCTGTTGTCTCTGCCGCTGTTCGTGGAAGGCGTTCTGTGTTAGTAGTACTGAATTATTATTATTATTTTTTGTCCAATACTTGTAGCGGCTGAAATTTACAAGCTCTGGCATTTCAAATGATCCTAGATCCAAGTATTACTAGATGAAATGTCACACAACTGATCAGCGGCTTAAGACGCTCTGTACGATCAAGTCTGAATTGTTCATGGTATGATTACTCCAGGATAAAATGATTGAACCCTTGCATTCCGAGAGATCCTCGCTTCCAGTACCGCTCAAGAGTCAAGAAATTCGCCTTCATGGCCGTGATCAATTTTTTTTAGATGGACACTAGTGACCATTCCGTTGCTTGGCTGAGACGCCGAGTCATATGTCAAGATAGTACTGTAGTCTGCAGGTGATTGAAACCATCTGTAATACAATAACGGTAAGCACGTGTGAAGGAGAGAAGAGAAAAGAGAGAATGAAAACAGGCTACATATTTATAGCACGGATTTCAATAATTATGCACGTGTGAAGGAGAGAAGAGAAAAGAGAGAATAAAACGGGCTACATATTCGTAGCACGGATTCAATACATTATATGTGTATAAGAGATGGGACCATATATTAATAGTGTAGTATATACTTATAGATAACTGTTGTATCAATGAACTATTAGATTGGCTATAAATAAATTGGAGCTAGTAGTTAGCTATACCACTCCGTTAAGCTTGCTCTAAGACTGCCAAAACATGAGAAGCAGCAGAAAAAAAAGAACAAAAAAGAAAAACACGCTACTATAAGAGCATATACTGGATAATTCGATGACATGTGGGACCATGAAAATCCACCTGAAATTGGACCGGTGGCCCCACTTGTCGGCGTCTCGACTTCCCAGCATTTGAACGATCCAATGGTTTTTGGCGTCATTGGCGTAGCTAATGATTCCAAGTTTCCAACCCCTTCTCTTTTCCCCCCAAAGGAGCTGATCAATCAGCTGGAAAGCAAAAAGGTGGTTAATCGAGCCAATGCGCGGAGGCGGAACAGCAACGCGAGCCCGAGAAGCCTCTCGAACCTTCTAGATTCCCCCAAACCCTAAGCTTAAACCCTAGCGTCCTCTCCCGATTGTTCGCCCCCGCGGCATCTCGATCGACGGCGCCCATGGCCGAGAAGGAGGAGGCGGAGGAGGAGGTGGAGGATGAGGAGGAGTACGAGAGCGACCTCGACGACGCGCCCCTACCGGCGGTGAGGCGACGCGCCGCGGCGAGCGACGACGAGGAGGGCGGCGGCGCGTCGGGTTCATCGGCGCCGTGGAGCGTGGCGGGGTCGGACCTCGACTCCTACTCCGACTCCGACGGGCAGGGCGCCGCGGAGATGTACGACGACGAGGAGGAGGGGTCCGAGGAACGCGATGAGTTGGAGGCGGGAGGTGGTGGTGGTGGTGGTGGTGGTGGTGGTGGTGTTGGGGGAGGAGAGGCACTTGAGGACGAGGGGAAGTGCGCCGACGAAGAAGCGCTTGAGGACGAGGGGAGGTACGGCGACGAGGAAGCGGATGGCGTGGTCGCGGCACTTGGGGACGAGGGTAAGTGCGACGGTGAGGAGGCGGAGGTGGAAGCCGCGGTGGAAGGAGCGGAGGTGGTGAACAAGGAGGGCGAGGCCCAGGCCGTACCAACGATAGGCGCCTTCTACATGCACGATGACCGTTTCCGTGACCCGGAGAATGGCAGGCACGGGAGCCAAAGGTTCTAGCTTCTTCATCCTTGATTCAATGACTCAATGTTCTATTTTTCCGTTGTTTATCCGGACATTAGTATAGTTCTGAGTGACAAACTGAAAATAGAGGTTATAGCCACAACCTGTGCTTTAGATTCCTCATCTATTCACCCAGGATTGTTTTATCAATCAATTAACCCCATTGTGTGCAAAATTCCGACAGTTTCATATGTATTATGTGCACTGGAATGACTGAATTATTCACTATGAGAGTGAAGATCGTATAATTTGGTGCGGCTAATAAGCATAGAAAATGCCAAAAGGGTATATTGTTTCAAACTGTCTAGCTGGAAGCCTGTAGCATGCATATTCCAATGTATTTTGTCTAAAGAGTTTGAACAGATAAATTGGTGTTTAGTTTCATTTGTTAGTTATTGTCATCATTCACCAACTGGTTGGTAAGTGCATTTCCTGGGCAATGGCAATGGCAGCGCTTGACATGTGTTTCTTTTTCTATAAATTAGTTTCAACAATATTCAGTTTGATCTGGACACGTTTATTTGCTGCCTAATGCATCCAATGATCATAATTCAGGAAAAATTTCGGTGGCCAAAAGTTATGGTATCCTAAAGATGATAACGTATGGGCGCATGATAGGTTTTATGAGATGAATTCCCATCATGATAGGCTTTATGAGACGAACTCCCATAACTCTCCAAATGACAGTGTGAGTACTATGCCTCTTTTTTTTTGAGAAACGAGGTACTATGCCATTGTCACTATGTCTTTTTTGTGTCTATTCTTATTGACAGTGCTGCTATGTTTGTATTGTTGTTTTTAGGGAAGGGGACCAAGAGGCTCTTTTAGAGCATGGGGTGGGGATAGAACACATCGTTATGATCATGGCTATCTTGAAAGAACTTTATCCCAATCTTACTATCATGATGATAGAGAAGAGTACAAGTATGTCCCAAAGGAACCACGTACTTTCTTTGCTACCACCAGGGACCACATTAGCTTTCTGAAAGAATCCAACAATATGTATGGCAGTGCCAATAACTACAAAAGAGTTCCAAGTAAATTTCACACTTACTATGATCATGGTGATACCAAGAATTTTGCCTATGTTCAAAGAGAATCACATACCTATTATGGCAATGCTAAAGATTTCACCAGTGCACACGATGGTTACAGGGGGGGAGTTTCTAACCCGTATGTATCTCATTGGAGGAGTGATCCAGAGATATGTTCAGGACAATATATTAGGTCAGCGAAAGTTCCATTTTTGCTCCTTTTACTCTGACTACCTAGCTGAATCTAACATTAAGCAATGTTGTTGTCTATGCTTCACTGTTGCAGATCTCAGAATGAAGAGGCTTCTTCCAATGCAGAAGGGGGAAAAGTATCCCTCTCAAACTCTGGGTTTCCAAACTGAAAAAAACTTTCCCATGAAGCAAACTTCTCCATCAAACTTGAATTCAGCTTCACCATCCTTTTACCATTCTAGATCATCTCATCAGGAACAACCTTTTATTCAGAGAGGGAAAGCGCGAGCTGTGATGTTTAGTAAACTCTTCACATCCTCTGTCCGTATGGCTCATAATTCTCTGAAGCCACAATCGCGTCCTGTTTATAGAGTGAAGGCTGTTGTTCCATCTGGTAGAGGGAACACTCTTGATTCTCTTAGCACAAATGCTATGGAGGAAATTGATAATCCTGGCTCAAATTTATCTGGATCAGCATCAGACAACTACATCCAATATTCAAAATCCAGTGATAAAGGAACAGGTTTGACCTTTCTTTTAGTGCACAAAGAGCATTTCTTGTTCAACAAATGGTCAAGCAATTGGCTCTTATGCACAGTCCTATAATGCAGTTTATCAGGAAAGGTCAATTCATCGACCATTTCAATCCACATCAAGGGTGTCTACTCTGGTGTTTTGTCCGAAACCTCTCAGTACCACCCAAATTCAATCTCATGTGACAAGTTCAAATGAAGATATTGAGACAAGTATGTCCCCTGGTTTAGTCAATTCTTTAGTGTCATCTGCAGTGAAGACTGAGCTAAAAGAGGAGGTGGAGGGGCCCTCTTTTACTTATGATGAAGGTCATGTTCATGGTGTTACAGGAGCAAGGGGCCTTACACTCAGTGACAAAGGTTTTCACTCGATCCCCAGCATTACTTCCAAGTTTATGTTGTTAGCTAGGGTGCATCAACTCGACCTCCATCATTATTTTAGATTCGTATTGTTTCACAGGGTAAGTCAGTTTAGTAATACAAAATGCAACATATAGTGGGATATGAAAAGAAGAAAAAGCTGTAAAGAAATCAACCATGCAAAGTATCCTTGTTATTCACTGCAGATATTCTTTATGTAGCCATGCACTTCACCGAGGATGAAAAAATGGTTGATTTGATTTCATTGTTTGACTTTATCTATCAACAGACAAACTACATTTGTGTACAACAATTATGGAAATCTTTAGGGGTTACTCTTTGACATTATTTCAATAATAAGGATTGGAGCTAGGTATCATGGTACTCGCAGGTTCCTATAGAGTTCTTGGCTGGTCATGTGCTATAATTGGAGATTCTCTGTACTCTCATATGGCATATAGTTCGTTCTTTCTATATTTTTCGTTGCAGGCACTCTATTATATGGACTTCCCAGTCTCATTTCTCTTTCCTCCACAGCTTTGCAGTTCAGTGGACAACATCCTAGGGGACCTGATACCCCTTTCATTGGCAGGACTCTGCCTAGATTTGTGGTTCGACAACTAGTCGGTGGCAGTTCTGAAATGAATCAAATGACATGGTATGCAGGACTTAATTTTCTTGCATAACTTTTGGAAGAACTATTCCACTTTCTTTAAATATTGTGGCTTGCTGTAGCCAAGCACTCCATTTTGAAATTTGCATTGCTCATAACCACCTGGGGTATTGGCAATTTCTTAACGAGGACAACAAATAGTTCTGATTGGATTGCTAAGTGGTGTGCCCAGCAGGGTTTAAGAAAAATGGTGATAAATGGCTGGTTAGTTAAATGAGCTGCAGACACAGAGGACTGCTAAAATTTGAATTGTGCCAAGTTATCAGTGAGTTTTAGTTCCAGCTGAATATGGCCTGGTTATGGGTTCCCAGGAAGTTGTCTGCTAGCTAGTGGAGCAGATAAGCTGAGTTCCAGTCTGATTCTGGTTTCTCGAATTCTTGTGCTTTGATTTATAATTGGTAGAATGTGTTTGGTGGCAACTTTCTCTGACAGCCTAACCTGAACATTCCTTTGCAATGTCTCTTCAAATGACAAGCATAGAGTATTTGCGACTGTGCTTGTCTAACCTATGATCTGCTAGTACCAATTGCTGCACAGCTACATGCCTACATTGGGGAGTGTTATCTGGACTTTTACATAGTTTACTCTAGGGCATATAATTGTAGCATGTCTTTAAATTTTGGTTACATGGCATTGCATGAACATAGCACAACTTCAGTCATGAGTGAACCAGGCTCTGTACCATAAGATGCCCTTTTTGTCCAAAGTTTAGATTTATCTCATGTGCCAAACCATTCAAACAATCATTACACTTATTGGATTTCATCTCTTTAACATGTTTTCATAGGTATCTTAATAGGTTCAGTTTTATAACTAACACAATTCCATCTAAATGTGGCATCTAAATGTAGCTTTCTGGGCCTGAACTTGTATTTGTTTATTTTTCTTCTTTTTTAACATTGTTTCAATGAATTAGGCTGCTAGTATCGTCTAGTTCTACTGGGGCTCCGGGAGCAACACATAATCCACCACATTTTGGCAGCTATTACCCCCAACCTTCTGAACTTGTGCCCTCATTGGTATCTCCAAGGTAAATATAAAGTTTTTTGTACATTACATAATTGGATTGCAGATTTTATAATTCAACCCTGATACGTATATATGTTAGATTGTTAGGGTACGATCATGTATTCATATCAGAAAGCTAGCTTGTATTTGGTGAACCAGAATAGTAATTGCGTCAGTGTCTGCCAAGGGTACTGTATTTCTGATTATGTTTTAAATATTTAGATAGTATTCAATGCAGATTTTTTAATAAACCTTGCTCTCAGATATTTCTGCTTTATGTCTCCCTTGGGAAATTTCTATAGATCAATCGCATATCATTGCGAAAACGTTTCATGCTTAGGAAGTTAGCGTATAGTTTCCTGGACATTAGAGACGGAGACAGTTTTTTTTCCCTTTGTCTGCCACTCCTACCTTGTTCTTTTAAGACCAAGGACAAGAATTTGTGTATTTATACCTTTTGCATCAGAATATCAGAGAGTTTTCTGTCCTGATGCTGGCCAGTTTGATCCAGATTTGAGTTTTCTGCTTGTGTGTTGCCTGGCAATTATTGTAATGTTTCATTCCAGATTCCATGGCATAGTATGTACTCTTGCTCGACGAACCCAAAGACAACAGTTACAAGACTACAGTCACTCTTGCTCGACAAAAGGCTTTACTTCTTCCCCTGTCCTTTTCACAGTTTTCTGTTGAAGCTCTTGTTTTCTCGGCCTTTGCTAGATTAGTACTACTTTCGTTAGCACTTCGTGCGTGGTGGCAACGCAAGAAAAATAGAAATGATATGCCATGTTTTCAGGAAACTTACTGGCACGTTAACGTCCGGGTAGGGGCTGGCACTGGGGACGCATCTCACATCTTATTCATACGTTTAACGTCCGGGTATGGTTTCTCTGCTCATTTGGGCTACTGGGAGACGTTCAACCAAGTTTTGTGCCCCCAAACTCTCAAGCCGTCCTTTATTCCTTTAGCTGATTTTCTACCCTAGTCGCTCAACTACTCTCGAGCAAGGTCCCAGGTGTTCATCCGGCTGGACCATGCTGAGATTACTATCTGGATTGGACGAAACGGGCAATGGAGAGAGGAAGCCCCTGGCCCCTGCTTCACCCTTTTCAGGCCCTCTTGCTCCTACATCCGTGATCCGTCCACTGTTGCCCCACCCTCCGAACATGTTCACGTCGTCGTCTGGTTCAAGACAAGGCAAAGAGAGCCCACCTGAGCTTGTGAGTTGTGAGGTGGTCACAGGCAGCACCAATGCTAATGCTGGTAGCTACGTAGACATCTGATGTGAGTCGTGCTCATCAGTCATCACCATGGCGAACGCTCAAAAAATCGGGGCACAGGGCAATCTACACTTCTACAGACCACTAAGCTAGCCGAGTTAGCAACTCGTTTTAGCTGATTGCCCACCTGATGGAGACTGGACAATGGCCTTTCCGGCTTTCCCCTGCACTTGATGTATTCTCCTCACAGTTCAGAAGAAAGAGCCACTCCACCAGTGCAGTCACCTAGTGCCACCGTTTCCATGGTGTCGTCTTCGCTAGCGCGAGACGGGTGCTCACACTGTGTTTTACCTTGGACATGGACTCTGATATCGATGCGCTGCAATCGCATTTCACAATCACCATAATGCATGGGGTCCGAAGCATCTACAGAATCCTACTGCTCTATTTGGTTGGTGGCTCCGAACGGAGTCGGCGAATTGCAGAATCCTAAGAACTTGGCACGCATTGCTTGCTTGGAATCCAGGACAATTCACAACGAGGCAAAGCAAATGGCACAACCCAATCCATGCTGGGTAAGAGGTACGACATGATCCGTCCTCCCCACTGAGAGCCAGTAATTCGGCGCTCGGGCCCACCTGCCATGTCTGCCTCAGCACCACCCCCCCCCCCCCCCCTCCTTGCCCATTGCCCAATGGCCACCCACCACGAGCCTTTCAGATAGATCAGATGCATCGGTATTCAGTAGTGGATGCACATCGTTGCGCGCTGGATTTTTCACAATTTATCCCTTTTAGAAAACTTGTTTTATAGATAGATTCTGACGAAATTATTTTATAATTAATCTCAAATCTTGGCACCAAAAAATTTAGAGCCGATGTCTAACTTCTCGGCACCAAAGATCCTAGTCCTTTGGCACAGAGCTCATCAGTTCTCTTAAGAAGTTAACAAGTATTAATCAAACCCAATTAACTAGGATAGCAGTCTGGATATCTCACTTCTACACCATGCACCTATGCTTGTTTGGTGGTGTTGATTTCTTAAGAATTAGGGCATGTTCACTTTGATGTCATTTTCAACCTTATCAAATTTTGGCATTGATAAAATTTTAGCATAGTTGCCGGGATTTCTTATATAGTTACCAAAATTTGGAAGCAAACTAAATGTAGCCACTTTTTTTTTGCAACTTTACCAAAATTTAGTAAGACTGAAAATAGCATCAAAGTGAACAGGCCCTTAGAATGTACCAGGGTTTTGGCGCCAAGATCTTTGGCACATACACGTTGGAAATCAGCACCACCAACAACCCTGCTGCCGAGATTTAAGTCGTTTTTGGGATAAATTCTATTAGGGTATATTCATAAAATAAGTTTTCAAAAAGAGTTAAATAGTGAAAGATCCAGTCGCTGCGCGCTTCCTTGAAAAAACAGTTGAATCGCACGAGGCCCGCCACCATATTCCGCCACTGTTCTTCAGAGCTGGACGCGATTAAGACGTCCTTTTTTTCCCCTTTTGCGAGTACAACCGATTAAGATGTCGGTGTCGCACATAAGCACAAAGCATTACAGGCTAATCAATCATGTCTCGTCTCTCTCCCCTAATTGGACGTGTAGCCCTTTGGGATCTTGTCAAATGGCGATGCGCACCGATGCATCCATCATGCCTTTCGGAAAGTAAAAAGGTGACAACACACGATGCGCGACTAGTTTATAACTTCTTTTTTTATTAGTAGAAGACAATGGGAGGATTACGTAAGATTTAGCGATTAATTTTGCATTGATCAGACGCGTCTAGATGAGCAAATTAGAGTATGACTGGCAACAAATCAATTCCTAATTGCGTAGCTATATTTGATATTAGAGGCTAAAGGTCGTCGTGGCTTACAAAGTCGTGGCCTACAAAGATTAGAACCGCTGTGGCATGCGTCTATGAAGGTGACCTGCTCGCATTTCATATTCTCCGACCAAATTTATAACTTTGGTCCTCTCTTCGGCGCAAGACAAGTGGATATGGTTTTATATGGTAAAATGGTAGCTGATGCCTTCTTGCCTGTATTCTCTATGCTGATCAGCTTACGTTGGCATGTGTTCCCCACCGAATGAAACGATCAAATACATACATTATTCCGATGTGGACAAGTGAAAGGCACTTATGTGGCAATTTGTGAATCAACGACGTCTTGCTGCAGATTTTCTATGTTTTCAGTTACTTGCATATGGAGTATTTATGTATATTAATTACTAGCCAAATGGTTAGCATGATTACTTCTATAATTGTATCTTATGATTTACCTAAATGTGTTGTCCCTCAGTTTGGTTCTCTGACTCTCTCTTCTATACATCCTACCAGACCAGGAATGATTATCACATTGCAGTGAGTTCTCATTATCTAAAAGAAACATTGCAATGTGTTCTGCAATGCATAATTGCACCAGTTCTAGTACCTGCCAATCGGCAAGCACATTGTCACATGCAGAGCTTACCAGCTTGTCTCGTTGTAAAACCGGCGCCTGACCATGTCTTGCACTGAACAAAAGTTAATAATATTTCTAGGAAGTTGCTTCAAACTTTTGGGCAATAGCCCACTTCAATACTGCTACAGCTTGTATATATGCCTCTTCCCTGACCTCATTCCAAGCGCTTTGGTAGGTCTACTGGCTCAGCTCGCATATCTACTTGTCTCTTCTCGCGCAAAGCTGTGCCATTCTTCACATTATCCCCTGCGCAGCAGAGCCCAGCCAATCTTGGCGAGAGGCAGTAGACATTGGCTGCTTTTTTTTCAAAAGGATTGCACTTTGTGAGAGATGGGGAGGAAGCTAGGTTTTGAGAAGGTCCTCGACTGCTTCTCCCTCGCTCTCTGCACGAACGCCTGCGTCTGCATACATTCGGTGGAAGACGACGAGGAGGAGGCCATCGAGAGGGAGGCGCTGGTGAGCTCTCAGCTGGAAGAGCTTGTGAAGCTCAAGGATCTCGTCGGCGGAGCCAAGACTCTCGCTTTCCATCTAGAGCCAAAGGTGATGAACATGAACTCCTCTCCCCTGTTCTATTAAGGACATGTCTGCAAAACATTCTGTCTGCTGATGCTTTTCTCTCTGTTCCATCTGTTGCGTTTTTTGGTTGGTGCAGACCGTGGAGCTCAGGGTGTCCATGCACTGCTACGGATGCGCCAAGAAAGTTCAGAAGCATATATCCAAGATGGACGGTATGAGACAGCTGATCCTCTGTTCTTTTTTTTTTTTTTTTGGGACGGTGTTCAGATTCTTTTGATAGGCCCTAGTGCTAAAAAGGATGCATTTTGAAGTACTCGTTATCATAAAGTTGCACTTTTCATTTACCAAACGAACAAAACTACTTGAACCGATATATCATTCTGAACTTTATTTGTAGTGCCATGAACTCATGATTCTTCACCCCCAAGAACAACTGAACAAGTAACCCACTTGTTCGTTCTCTTTCTCTCTGTTTTTCTTCGTTGCAATTACTTGAGGACTCTGTGACTCACACAACAATAGCAATGGCACAGCAATAACTTAGGGGCAGGGGACTCGAATTTGTGACAACTAATTTGACAGTCCGCTAGTCTAAAAGGTGATAATACCTGAAATCCTGGAGTTGAATCCTGCCTCGATCTTTTTTACTCAACATCTCTTCAACGTACTTCATGCATATATGCAAGTGTGTACATTTCTTAGGAGTATTAGTCAAGCGAAGCATTCATATTTGTCGAATTTTAGTACTATCTAGGACCTCGAATCAATCACTGAGTCGGTGTTATCTTTTAAAAATCACCGGGTTATGAAATGGCGTACATCTGAGAATTTTATAACGTAGCCTGGTGCTACCACATGGGCATCTTTGGGATGTGAGCAGAGTCTGGGAGAGTCAGAGAGGGCAGTGAGTTGTTCAGAGTTTCAGAAGAATTCGTAGCTGCTGCAAGAAGACGGGCCTGTCAGTGCAAGGAAGAAAAACTCGCCCCGGTGGTTGACCCTTGTACACCTCCAATGATTTCAGTATAAGCAAAGCGAAGAACCCAACCCCAGCGATCTACTCTGGTTCCCTCGTTGTTTCGCTAATGGCGAACAGTGAACACAACCAAGCAGCAATGTGCTCTGCTCCATAAAGCCACTATCATTTCAGAAAACGAAAATGTTTCTGAAGAAAAGTAGTATTGTTACAGGTCACGGAGCTCGAAAATGTGCGATCATCCGCTGCTCATGAGTTGGCTTTCGTGTCGTTTTGGTTGCGGCTTGTGCAGGCACGCAGGCCAAATGCATCCATGCATTATATGCAGGTTTCAGCACATGTTTGCACTGTACACATGTGCATGGCTGCCTTCCTGCCTGTGCTTGCCTACCCTTTCTGGAAAGAAGTTTAGGTGTCGCCACCCCAGTCGGTACCCAAGATTTTGGTAGTAAAACTTTACTTCACTCTACAAAAAAGATGGTTTGTTGCCACCGTCTGTCGGCTCATTGCCGGATCAAGCGAAAAATGGAAGGGATTTGTCAGTTTCAACTTTCAAGTTAGTCTGAATGAACTCTGCATTACATGCATCTGAACATGTATCTTTCTGTGTGTGGTGTGCAGGTGTTACGTCGTTTGAGGTAGATCTAGAGAGTAAGAAGGTGGTGGTGATAGGGGATATCACGCCGTATGAGGTGCTGGCGAGCGTCTCCAAGGTGATGAAGTTTGCAGAGCTGTGGGTGGCCCCCAACTCCCAAGGTTGCTAGCTAAGCTAGTAGTAGAATGATAGATCGGCGGGGATAATACATATATGTGAGATCTCGTCGCGTCAAGTATTCAAGTGTATGGTACGCCATGGGGTCGTGCCTTCTCGTCCGTCTCGGTCTTGAACGCATCGCGTGCACATATACAGAAGCACCGTCAGGATTGATCAGGAAATGTAACTAGGGAAGAAGCGCCATTTTCAGTGCATGTGTTTTCCCTGCATCGGTCGGTTAAATTGGTCCTCAACTACTCATCCATCACAATCTTGCCCGTCGCTGCTGCATTGGACGATCGACCATCTCCGGTTGGATCATGTACACTTGCCGAGTCGTTCGACGCCAGGACCGGCAGTGGCCTCGATTCGTGGTGGCTTTACCCGGATAAACAGGCTGCGTTGGCGTTGGCCGCGCGCGCGCGCGCGGGGACGGGGGCGGGGGCGGAAGCGGAAGCCAACCGATGGCTCCCGCTTCGCGTTGCGTAACCGGCGCGGCGCTCCGTCCCGCGCTTGGGCCAATGCCCACTCGTTCGCGGGCGCGAGTGAGGACAAGTTGTTGTGTCGCGTGTAGCAAAGGTGCGTCACGCGGTTGTGGTGTCTGGCAATGGGCCGGCGAGTGCTGGAGGGGCCAGGGCCGAGACGCTCACGGGCTACGTATATGGACCGTCTGCAACACATAGCATGGACATAGCAATAAGTGTACTATTCGTTCCTCATCTTTCTGTCGAGTTTTAAATAGTACCACTAAACCTCAATATTGGAAATCCTGAACCCCCACTCCCCCCACCACCACCACCAATTCGCAAAGCCAGGTTTCGCTGATGTGGTATCTTAGTTTGTGGGGCTCGCAAGTAAAGTGACCACCTCACCTTCTTCCTATGCTTCTTCTCGTCTCCTCCATGCCAACTTGCTCAATACTATCGGTGTCGACGACAAGCTATACGCCAAATACCCTTGATGAAGATTGCGGTCAGTGTCGATGTTGTCTCTGGTGGCGGGTGATGGGTTCACAAAGTGGAGCAGCATGTGCTCCTCAAGGTGCTCGCCTGTAGGCTGTCGCCAGGCGCCATCTCCTTCTTATTGAAGTTGTAACGCATCGTCGGGAAGGGCCCAAACAACGCTATTGAGTTGGAGATCGAGGACGGGAGACGGATCTTGGGTGGGCGCAGGTACAATTATTGCTTTCGATGCAGCGAGCCCTCCCACCCACACCACCTGCGATGCCGTCATGTTTGTCATTGCATATTTGTCTATCCTCTGTCGAATTCACGGGTGTCCTTCACTGATTGTGATAGGACTTGGGCAAGCCTCCCTTCGCACAAGCAATTGACCGAGCTTGAGCTCACGTAGGGCTTGCTGGCTGCCGCCGCCACTGGATCCCTTCGCGTACTGAAGGGCGGACGAGCTCAAGCTCCCAGGGGCTCGTCGGCACCGCCACCACTGCTTCTCTTCCCACAGGCAAACTCACAATGCACTGTCTCCCTTGCCTCCCTCCTCTTTCCCGTGTTGCCACAAACCACTGGAGCCCCTCTTTGCCGACCTCCTACTGCCATTGTTGCCTTCGTGATCATCTCGCCGACCACCCCGCTCATCTCCTCACCAATGAGCTCCTAGGAAGAGATGGGAGAGGTGGATGTGTACTTACATATGGGCCCCAAATTTTTTATTTGTTCTCATTAGGATGCCACGTCAGCGAAACTGGTCATCCATCCTATCATAGGATCTAATTTAATCCAATTTTGTAAGTTGGGGAGAAGGGGTGGTAAAATTTCTGGTATTATGGTTTAGAATTTAAACTCCACGGGAAGACGAGGGACAAAGGCGGACTTGTTCCCATGCACATATGTGCTTACCTTGTGCCTTGTCCGAGCTGTTGGTGGCTTCGTGTGCGTTTAGAACTTTCGGCCCATCTCCATCTATAAAATGAAACAACACTATTTTTATCTCTCGAGAGGATATCCTCTCGTTGTTTGCATGTCATCTAAATAGTTATCAAAAAATTTAAAAAAATTAACAACATAGATTAATACGAAATATATCACTCCACAAACATGCAAGACCAAATTCAACTTCTATAAGTTACAACAAAAATAACAAATTAAACTGAAAATAGTTATCTCACATTCGCAACTATATTTGTTATTTTTGTTACAACTTGTAGAAGTTGAATTTAAACTTGCATGTTTGTGGAGTGATATATTTCATATTAATCTATGTTGCCAATTTTTTTCATATTTTTATGACTATTTAGGTGACGTGCACGAAAGAGATGATTTCACTTTCCCGATACTACTAACCTTGACCACTACATTTTACTATCCACGTATAAACTCGGGAAAAAAATAATGTGCAAAATACGTACTTTTCTTGACAAACTTAGCGACAAAATTTACCTAGCTGCTGTGCCTTCTCCCGTTCTATGGATGTACCGACACTCGAGCGAACTACTTGTGGCATATGTAATCCAAAAATTTGCAGAGGCTGGGATTTTTATTCCATTATCTTAAAAAATGTAATCCAACAGGGCCCACTCGTCGGTGTCCCGTGTCCGCCACGCTCTCGCCATCTGCCTGTACCACTAATCTTCAAGCGAGCAAAGGCAAACCAAATCCACACAACCAGCGGCCCAGAGACGGCCACTCCCTCCCACCGCTCCTCCGCGCCACGCTTCCTCGCCGCGCGCGCGCCCGCCATCTCCTCGCCTCGCCGTCGAAGGCCCGCAATGCGGAACCTCCGCGCCGCCGCGCCTGCCTCCTTCCTCGCGCCGCCCGCGCCCCCTCTCCTCCTCCCCCCGTCGACTCCAACCCCGCGAGGTGAGCGCACACGGCGGTTGGATGGTTGCCTTGTCTCGCGTTCAGCTTCTACTCCGTGCTCATGCTCTGACGCGCCCGAGCAGGGGCTCTCACCGGCGAGCTAACTCCACGGATTTCATGGTTCTTGCAGGCGCCTTCTCGGCGAAGGCTTCTCCTGCCGCGGCGGCCGCCCAGGCGCATGGCTGGTGCCCCTCGCCGCGGCGCGTGGGCCGGCTCCGGCGGCGCGCGGGAGCCGCTTCGTCGAGCGGTAACCTTCGTCAGTCGGAACTCCTCTCAGCAAACTGCGAAATTTGTTTTACGTTTGTGTGTGCTTTCCATTTGATTTTCGAACTGGTGTGTGTGGCAGTGGCGTCGGTGGAGGACGCCAAGAAGGACGTGCTCGTGGCGCTCTCCCAAATCATCGATCCCGACTTCGGGACGGACATCGTCTCGTGCGGGTTCGTCAAGGACCTGGAGATTAGCGAGGCCTTGGAAGAGGTTAAGTTGAAGGACACTTGCTGATGAAGCCTGGATGCACTGCTCGAACATTTGGCTTACTTTGGTCTCCATTTGGCTCTGCTTTTTCAGGTCTCGTTTCGTCTGGAGCTGACGACTCCTGCCTGCCCGATCAAGGACATGGTGAGTACAGTTCCTGTGTTGACGTGTTCAGTTATCTCCGTGGAACTATTCACTCTTTATCTTCAGTTGTCTCAAACAAAATAGCAGTAACTATATTGGTTTTGAGATAATAGTATCGGTTAAGCTTATCATTGGCATCTGATGAGATAGATGTATAAATGTGAACTGATTGGTTTATACTCCTATCTGTTTGTAAAAATGCTGTCCTATCCTGGGTTGGAAAAACAATTTGCGGCAAAATTGCATGAAGACTTGTTTTGCTTTGTAGTTTGAAGAGAAGGCAAATGAGGTTGTTGCAGCACTTCCTTGGGTCAAGAAGGTCAATGTTACAATGTCTGCGCAACCTGCACGACCAGCATACGCAGGGGAGCTTCCAGAAGGATTGCAGAAGATTTCGAATATCATAGCAGTTTCAAGCTGCAAGGCAAGACCTCAGGATAATAATAAATCAGTCCTTTTTAGTAGTAAGTAACTAAAAAACATTTTTTCCCAGGGAGGAGTTGGAAAGTCTACAGTTGCTGTAAATCTTGCATATACATTAGCTGGTATGGGGGCCAGGGTTGGAATATTTGATGCTGATGTCTTCGGTCCGAGCTTACCAACTATGGTTTCTCCTGAAAACCGGCTGCTAGTGATGGTAAGCTGATTGAATAATTGTGTTAACAAAAAATTAGTGGTTGCACTAATAATGGTAAACAGATTTACCTTTAGAACCCAGAAAGCAGAAGTATTCTTCCAACCGAGTATTTGGGCGTCAAGATGGTGTCTTTTGGCTTTGCTGGACAAGGAAGAGCTATAATGCGTGGTCCAATGGTTTCGGGAGTGATTAATCAGTTGCTGACCACTACTGATTGGTATGCAAAAGAGATACTTGACATCTTTATGAAGGCATCTGATGAACATAATAAAGCAGCCCATTTTTACCAGCTTAGCCTTTCGTAGATTCCCAATAATATTATTGGGTTCCGTTGAAAAAACTTGACTTTTTTTCTTCTTTTCATAAAGGGGCGAACTCGACTACCTTGTCATTGACATGCCTCCAGGAACAGGAGATATACACTTAACACTCTGTCAGGTGGTACCTCTAGCCTGAGTATTGTACAAATCACACGTGGTAACATCAACCATGCTTGTAGGCACTGTGAAATTTAACATGTCTGAAACATCAGGTAGCCCCATTGACTGCAGCTGTCATTGTTACCACCCCTCAGAAGCTTGCTTTCATCGATGTTGCAAAGGGAGTTAGAATGTTTTCCAAGCTGAAGGTGTGTAATCTTCATATCACTGTTCATTTTAATTGTAATCTACCGTGCTTACTATTCGTGCATCAATTTGTTTCTGCTTCATCTTCATCTTCTTTGTGAAGGTTCCGTGCGTTGCAGTTGTTGAGAACATGTGCTACTTCGATGCTGATGGAAAACGATTTTACCCATTTGGGCAAGGTTCTGGAGCTCAGGCAAGAAAAGTTTTGATGCACATTTAGCACATTCTCTTGAATATTTTTTGAATTGCGTCAGCATTGCAATTATTTCAGGTTGTGCAGCAGTTTGGAATACCTCACCTCTTCGATTTGCCGATACGGCCAACTGTAAGCTCAATCCCACCTATCTTGTACAAGGATAAAAGTGAGTGCAATGATCACAGTTTGGTATAATTTACAGCTTTCAGCGTCTGGAGATACTGGAATTCCTGAAGTAGTGGCTGATCCACAAGGGGATGTTGCTAAGACGTTTCAGAATCTTGGAGTTTGTGTTGTTCAGCAGTGTGCTAAAATCAGACAACAGGGTAAGTTAGCAGTTCACAAATTACAACCTAGAATATGTAAAAGTAGTTCATACAATTTATTTTCTTGGTGAATTCGAACTAACCAAAATTTAAACAAAACGAAGAAAGAAGTATACCAATAAATACTGCCAGCTTTCTTATTCCCAAAAAAAATAAATACTGCCAGCTTTTGTTCAAAAAATGTATTACAGCAAAACAGATATGTTTCTTTTTTTACCAAGTTTTTCTCCTGTAATGATGTGTTAATCTTTTTCATTTTGCCAGTTTCAACAGCAGTTTCCTATGATAGATCAATTAGAGCAATCCGAGTGAAAGTACCAGATTCAGATGAAGAGTTCTTGTTGCATCCAGCAACAGTCAGAAGGAATGACCGATCTGCTCAAAGTGTGGTGGGTATACCTTTTCGCCGTTTAATGTGTATTATTCTAACACTGGCATCGACTTCAAATGGCGTGTACAGTGCTTATAATTTTCAGAAACTAAATCATGTAGTCTGTATTTTCAGAAACCAATATTTTCACAGTTGCCCTTGTTTTGCACAAACTAAGTAGTTCTTGTCTGCAGGACGAATGGACAGGTGAGCAGAAAGTACAATATGGTGATATACCAGAAGACATTGAACCTGAAGAGATCCGTCCTATGGGAAACTACGCAGTTTCTATAACTTGGCCTGATGGTTTTTCTCAGGTAATGTAATACAAAATAAAGATTATTTCATGTACAGTAGACTTCCGAAATTCATGTAGATGGATTAAATGGAGATGAAATGAACATGAATCTGATTCTCTGCAGATAGCACCTTATGATCAATTGGAAATGCTTGAGAGGCTTGTGGATGTTCCTCGTGCAACAACAGCAGCAGTCTCTTCATGATAGAGTAGAGATAATGTTCAGTCAGAAGGGGCAAGAAAACAAACTTTTGATACAATCGACTTTCAGAGTTTCTAGGATTACAGGGAAAAGAAGTGTGATTACTGTAACAGTGTACAATGAGCAATATTTATTGGAATAGAAGGCATTGTTTTTTCTTACTTTTGGTCCATTTGAAATGCTCTGAAGTCTGAAAAGGGGGATTCAAGATGTGTTTCCACCATCCATATTCCACATATCGACCAAAAGGACATGTAAGAGTCTTCTGAGTTACAATTTGCTAATGAACTTTATTGAATTATCTCTATTAGTAATTTCCGAAGTCATTTCAAGCTATATCATTTTGCTCTTATCCAGACAGTTTATTAGGAAACAAATAACTTGTAGGTAAAACTTTAATATACATGTCTTTAGCGATTCAAAGACAAATAATATAAAATAAACCATGAAAAAGAAAACCATAAAATCGAATTTAAAATTAAGTTTTAAAATTCAAAGTTTGGCTAATAAGCATAAGCGAAACAACAGGGTTGTTCTATCATTTGCCAGGTAGCTACACAAAATTCTGGAAGATCCACACTTCATTCTAGTTATCGACCACATTAGATTCTTCCACGACGAGTTAGAAAAAAAAAAAACTTGGAAGCACTTTTGCTTACCAGTTCTGGTTTTGTCAACCGGGCCCGTCATACAAAAATTTTGAAGTTGCATAACTCAGAGAACCAATCGACACGTTTAGACTTTTCAGATGTCATCACTAGCCTTAAGCAATATCACCTCACCTCTCAGCTATGTTTTTGTCAGCAAAAATATCATAAAGAACCAGTCCAAAGTTTGTATCCAATTAGGAATCCAAAAAAAAAGATGTCTTCATTAATTGCAATCTTCTAAGAGTGAGTAAAATGGGATTTATATAAATGAGTTGTACAAGTTGTGCTTATGTGAAGGAGAGAAAAGAGAAGAGACAAGAGACAAGAAAAGTTATAGATTTATAGTTGGCTGCAACACAAGCTCTAATAACTATGTAAGAGATGGATGGATTAGGTATTAATGATGCGGTTTATATGTACAAATAATTATTGCATGAGTGTATTATTAGGTTGGCTATAGATAATGTTTCATTTTTTAGAGTTAGTAGTTGGCTACATTATTAAACTTGCTCTAATTGCTCCTCCAGAAAGGATGTGAAGAGGAAGTAATGCTATGCAAATCTGCACGGCACATGATATGTTCTTTATAAATTTAAGCCACTTGTGCTCCGACCAACTGTACAAAACCGGAGACTTCATGCTCATAAGTTTTTTCTTGAAAAAAATAAGTGATAAAGTCTTCTGGTTTCCTGCTCTTCCGATACAACCCTTTCTTAACTTCTGCAGCCTGAGTCAGCGCCAACAAAAAATTGCCCAAATCATGCAACTGGAGCTTCCATTTGATCTGATGCAGTTCGTTGCCCGCACAATCTTTTAAACTATTGTTTTCATCGCTTTTTAAAAAAAGTTAGATTCCTTTCTTGACTTGATCTTGAAACTTAAGTCGTCTGGTTGGCTAATAAACGCTCTTGCTATGAGGAATTCATTTCAGAGTCAGAAGTGCAATGAAGATGAGGATGATCCTCAGCAGGAGATGATATGCAAAGAGTAGTTTTTATCTCCGGGTAATGTTCTTGCTGCTTTTCTTTAGTTTCTCCTCTGATTCTTGTAATGTGAAATTGTGAATACGCGATTGATGTATCACGGATTTATGGATCACATTGTCAACTATTTGGTTCACTGTCGATCCTGAGCTCTAGAGAATATGATTAGACAAAAGTTCTCTTCCTGCTGCACACAAAGGTTCTGTACAGAATGTGGATACATCCATGCAGCAGGATACTGCAGAGTGGAGCTGTTAAGTTAAGAGGAAAGTGGGAATCTTGGTCATATAATCAAGTAGAGCGGTTTAATCTGTAAATTTCTGTCCTATGACACTGAGACTAACATGCAAATTTCTTCCCTTTGTTGTGCAGAGCAACCGAGCAAGAAAAAGATGGGCAAAATGCCGTCACAGAAGGACATCTTTGAGGTGTCAGGACCTACGTACTTGACATATGTGAATTGGTAGTTTGCTGATTCCCTCTTTTCCATTGTTCCTTTTTTTTTTACTTTTTAAAAAAAACTTTCCAGTTTTTGGTTGCAGATTGCTCTGTTTCCTTGAAGAATTTGCATTGTCTAGTACCGTGCTTAGATTTCTAACTTTTTTTTTGAAACCCCGAGATTTCTAACTTGCAGTGCTGAAAGCAACTAAGCATAAAAAAGATCGTATATTTTGTGAAAGAAAACAAGCAGGAACCTGCATTGGGAACCATTGATCTGATCACCTTTGAGTTCTGATGGTTTTCCTCCGGCCAGGAATTGCCCGCACCACCAGCGATCCGTCATGGCGAGCCTCGTCCAGGGCGTGTACGTCATGGAGCGCGACCGGCAGTGGAACCGGCACGGCCACGACGCCCGCGCGCCGGCGTGGTGGAGGTTCTTCCACTTCGAGGTACGAGAGGTGCTCGTGGACGCCGCCGACTCCTCCATCTTCGGCGCCGTCTACGCGTTCCAGCCGCCGTGGCACCTCCTCGACCCCGCCGCCGCCGCCGCTGCCAGCGCGCCGCACTACGTCGTCGCGTTCCGCGGCACCATCACCAAGAAGGCCTCGGCGTCCCGGGACCTGGCGCTCGACCTCCAGCTCGTCCGCAACGGCCTCGACCGCACCTCCCGCTTCCACGCCGCCATGCGGACCGTCCACGCCGTCGTGGCCGCGGCGGGGCATCAGCATCACCACCGCGTCTGGCTGGCCGGCCACTCCCTGGGCTCCGCCATCTCGACGCTCGCCGCCAAGTCCATGGCCAGGGCGGGCGTCGCCCTCCCCACGTTCCTCTTCAACGCGCCGTTCCCGTCGGCGCCGGTGGAGAGGATCGGCGACAGGCGGGTGAGGCAGGGCGTCCGCATCGCCAACAGCTTCGTCACCGCCGCCGCGGCCACCCTCCTGCACCATGGCAGCGGCGGCGGAGGCTACGACGCCTTCGCGGCGCTGGCGCGGTGGGTGCCCAACGTGTTCGTCAACCCGGGGGACCCGATCAGCGCCGAGTACGTGGGGTACTTCGACCACCGGAAGAAGATGGAGGACATCGGCGCGGGCGCCGTGGGGAGGGTGGCGACGAGGAACTCGGTGAAGGACCTGCTGCTGGGCATCGGCACGGCGGGTGGATGCGAGCCGCTGCACCTGTTCCCGTCCGCCGTCCTGACGGTGAACCGCGGCGCGTCGCCGGACTTCAAGGCGGCGCACGGGATCCACCAGTGGTGGAGGCCGGACCTGGCGCTGGAATGCGCCGCCCATTACTACTAATAAAGCTTGAAATTCGATCTGCACAATGCGGGGAAAAGATGCTTCGATCAGGGATTCATTCGTCATTTCGATAACTCATCAATCCGTGTTTAAAAAAAAAAGAAGTTGTAGAGACAATGTGCTCTTGTTTCGTTAATTTTCAGATCGATCAACTAAATGAAGCTCGATCAGGTGCTCGAGGCGTGGCCATAGCCGCTAGGGAGGCGCATGGCATGGGGGCCTCCTCGACTCCTCGTGGCCGCAGCTTCTCCAACTCCATAGATGATAGATCGTGTCAATTGTCAAAGTGCCAAATCAGCAAGGGAATTTGCTAAAAGAAAAAAATTGTGCAAGTTTTTTTGGGTAAAAAATAACATGAACTCTTATGGGGGAGGATTCTAAACCTGGAGAGGATGCCCCCTTGTCTATAGCGTGTGGCCTTTAGTGTTTACCAAACCATTTAGGATGAGGTTACCGTTAGTCCATGGTTTGACGGTTACCGTAAAAACCGTGCGGTTACCGTGAAGTATAGCGTGGCTTCAAAAACGTGCAGTATAGCGTGGCTTCAAAAACTGAAAAGATTATTGTACGTGATAACCGTGATAATAGCACCATAACCACGTAGTGTTGTAATGCCTAGTAGTCTAACATTTAACACGACGGAAGGGAAAAGATCCCAAAATATTTTTAGACCATTACAAATGTACCAAAATACATCGGAATCACACATTTAAGTACGAGCTGAAACAACATTTGATAACTGTAGTAGAATTACACGTGCTTCAGGCTAACTCAAGAAGTGTATTAAGTTGAATCAAGACGTGCAACCTTTTGGCGCGAAACCGATCCGTTCCTTCTCCACGTCAAACACGACCCGGAATCCTTGCTGCTGCACGTTACCGATCACGCTGAGCCCGTCGTCCGCCGCCTCGAACCCCAGGCAGCGGCGGTACGACGCCGCCCGCCGCCTCCCGCCGTCCACGGGGAGGAAGTAGTTCTCCGGTGGCAGCGCCATGTCCGCGCCGCCGGCGAAGTGCAGCACGATCAGCGGCGCGCTCGCCGCCGGCCTCCCGCGGAGGTCGTAGCACGCGTCGAACACCGAGTGCTCGCCCGCCAGCCTCCGCATCCCGGCCGCGCGCGCACGCGCGTCGAAGGCGTCGCGCAGCGCCGCGTACGCGTCCCTGGCGAACCGGGATATGGCCGTGCCGGAGTCCACGACGACGCCGCCCCGCCCCGTCGCCGTGTCCAGCGCGAGGCTGGCGTTCGAGAACCCGGTGACCCTCTCGCCGCCGACGCTGAACCCGGCCATGTCCACGTAGTACAGGCTCGGGCGCCGCGGGTTCGACAGCAGGGCGGTGAACGCCGTGGACGGCGGCTCCGGCGTGCGGCCGAACACGAGGTACGAGCTGCGCGTTGAGCGCGACGTCCGGTCGCCGAGGCAGTACTCGAAGACGCTGCCGTACGCCGGCGCCACCTGCGTCGAGATGGATATCTTGCCGCGGCCGACGCCGAGCAGCCCGGCCGCCGAGTCGAACAGCCCCTCGTTGTCGCGGCCGCACCCGAGCGTGACGTTGTTAACGTACGTGTCGTTGGCGAACGCGAGCTTGTCGGTGGCGAGGTCGCCGGTGCTGGAGGAGCCGTCGCCGTAGGCTACCATGTACCTGCAGCCTCCTCCGGCGGCGCCGCCGCTGTCGCAGCCGGGGAACCGGAGCGCGCGGCACTGCGGTGACGAGCAGGGGACCCGGCGGTACGTGCTCGAGCGGCGCGGGTCGAACACCTGGCCCCTCTGGGCGTAGCAGCGGCGGCAGGGGCTGCACTGGAGCCAGACGAGGTCGCTGCCGGTGTCGATGACGAGCATCGCCTTGGTGGACGGTGTGCCGACGCCGACGAGCGCGAAGTACTCGCCGCTCTCGAAGGGGATCCCGGAGAAGACGGGTGAGTGGAGGCGGCCGGTCGCGTCGACAAGGGACGCGTAGCGCGCGGCGTCGGCGGCGAGGCGTTGGCGGAGGAGGCTGCCACGCTTGGCGCCGGGCGGTGGCGGGAAGAGCGCGTCGCGGTGGAAGACCGGGACGTGGAGTGTTCTTGGAGGCTGGCATGCGTTGGCGACGGGGAGAAGGACGACGAGGAAGAGGAGCAACGTTTTGAGCGGCGCCATTGAGGAGGGCGAGGTGGTGATCAAGGTGGTAAACGGATGGAGCAATGCGATGGCAGTGTTAATGAAATATGGAGTTTTTGAGAGTGAAGGCCATTGAAATACTCAATCAATTGAATAGATTGCCCGTTGAGGTCCGGATTCTGGCCAGCAGCAGTTTCATGAATTAAATTAGCAGTATTAATGTGCAAATCAATTGCAAGTGATCACACACACCAGGACACTAACATGTCTAAACTCCAAACAGAGTATAATAAATAAACCATATGTTATATAGATATAATAAATAAACCAATTAGTTTGTCATGGCTGTTTCACATGTATGCTGTTTGGTGGCATAACAAGAATAACAAAACTTGTATCGTGCCGAAGAGAAAAACTACTACTATCTCCTTGAATTATAGGAATCTAAGATCAGACTAGACATATTCTACTAAGTAGCAAATTAACACAATATCTTACTGATGATGTATGACTAGTGTGTGGTCGTTCTTGCTAGAAGTAAGAGGTTAGACATGGTAGCCTGTGAAAGTAAATCCTCTACCAACGACTTCACCACCAGCAAACCATGCTATCAACTCAATACCAAACAATGTTGCAACGCCAATATCCTCGGCCTTTAGATTTAGATTCTTCCTGTTTTTCCACAAGAGCTTTGCGCCATCAACCTCTTTCCAGAACGACTCGTAACGGCCAGGGATGCTGCAAGATCGAAACATCAACTTGTTAGTATCTCATCGGTGTACGATGGCTGATAAACCATGAAAAAACATAAACAAAGTAAACAAAAATAATTTGTAAGTAGAATTTTTTTTATATTTGTGTTCTTAACGATTTAAAAATCAATAGTGAAAATAAAATACGATGAAAAATACCTCAAAAATCGATTAAATTACGTTTCAAAATTTAAATTTTAGTTGCGGCTAATAAGCCAACAAACAAATTTAGTAAGTGGTGATATTTAACTTTTCCAAAGAAATACATTATGTTCAACTTTTTTTTTGTTGTGGTTGAGTTCATCTTCGGCCGACAGCGTAACACTTCCATCATCTAAAGAAGTTTATTATTGTACAAAAAAAGTAAGCTCACATAAAACCGATGTTTTCAAAGAAGAAATAAACGAAGTCCTTGCACAAGCCCCATACCGAACTAGAAAAGATTGCGCAGAGAGATTGAAACCATCAGCTACCTTTCCTAAACATGATCGAATACAGAGTTCCTTCTCAACAAGTAAGGCATGAATACAAACTCGTATGTAAATTAAGAAAATAGCATTCAACATCTATGATTTACTCTCTCCGACCCTCAGAAAGTTTATTACTCCCTCCGTATTTTAATGTATGACGCCGTTGACTTTTTAATCAACGTTTGACCATTCGTCTTATTCAAAATTTTTATGCAAATATAAAAATACTTATGCCATGCTTAAATAACATTTGATGATAAATCAAATCATAATAAAATAAATTATAATTACATAATTTTTTTGAATAAGACGAAATGTCAAACGTTTGTTAAAAAGTCAACGGCATTATACATTAAAATACGGAGGGAGTATTAGCAGTCAAATATTTAGTAGATGTGAAAAGACGAATATGACATCCATCTTCTCCCTAGGCTAGCTTGTACATTCGACTATACTTTTGGCATGTCCAACCTCTCTAACGCCGAGTTTAGTTCCAAACTTTTTTTTTCAAACTTCCAACTTTTCCATCACATCAAAATTTTTCTACATACATAAACTTCCAACTTTTCCGTCACATCGTTTCAATTTCAACCAAACTTTCAATTTTAGCGTGAACTAAACATACCCTAATTAATAACGTTTGCACCTGAAGATTGGAGATGCATTGGCAATCTACAACTAAAAATATATATAAAAAAAGGACTGAAGAACCCCACATCTAAAAATAATAAGCTCTTCATGAGCAAATACTTCAGTGTTAGGACGGAGGGAGAAAAACATGGTGGTGGTCTTGGCGCGACAATAATTCTCATAATAATGAATTGAGATTCTCTTTTCACAATCCTTCAAAAAGCATAGGGCCGGTATCATAAAACAGTACAAACCTTTTGTATCTTTCTGTAAAACCACTCAATATTAAAGTTTAATCAAATGTCTTCAGACTTAAGATTAAAACTACTCTAATATTTGTTATCAAATTTTTAGTGTCAAGAACCGTAAAACCAATCTACTTTTCAATTATAAATCCTTAGTAGTAGGTTTCGGTTGTAACTATACAATCTGTAATCGCACCAATTAATTAATTAATATGTTCATCTACCAAAAAAAAGTTCAGTTGGCATCAAAGAAGCTAATCAACGTACGTCAATGGAGCGCAAAAGAAAAAAAAGATCGATCGAGCTAACCAAAATCAATCAAAATCAATGCTGATCGATCTATCACTCTATAGGGATTAGGGAGGGGACCTGGCGAGGCGGGTGTAGAAGAGCTGCTTGGAGAGCTCCTGGCACGTCTGGATGGTGGGCGGGTCGATGACGTAGCGCTTGTTCCGCTCCATGAGCTCCTCGTGGAACGCGCGCCCGTGCTTGGCCGCGCTCCTCGTCGCCTCGCACGCCCTCGACTGCAGCTGCCTGCTCCCCTCCACCACCGCCTTGTTGTACGCGCACCCCTGCCTCGCCGCCACCCTCGCCGCCTCCCGCGCCGCCGACCCCAGCGTCGCCAGCTTCGACCCCAGCGCCGCCATGGCCGCCGGATTCATCTCGCTCGAACAATCCTGCTACTACCACCATGCACGAAGCCGGATCATTATTAGATCGCAATTATAATTAGAGATTATAAATAACAAAAACACCGGCGGTACAGAGATTCGAAGCTATCACTGGTTATTATTACCTTCTTTCGCTTTGATCACCGGGAATCCGGGATTGGAGGAAGGAGGCGACGTACGAGATGGCAGAAGAGGACGGTTTAATTTGCGTCTTTGCGGCAATGTGGCGGCTATGGCAGAGGGGGTGTGTGTTCTTGTAGCGGCGCTCTTGGCTTGGAGGAGAGGTTAGGGCCCGCTTTGCCAAGGGAACTCCATTAAGCCTACGATAACAAAACGGGATGTATCTCTTTTTGAGAGTTGTCAATAATAATCTCTTTTACAGTACCCCTGCCATAGCACGATTCCCACTTCCAAGTTCTAACACGAAGAACTTCGGTGACCACCTGAAGAGTCCCTTGGTGTCACGTGCATTCTCTGCCGATCCCTCTCCGGTCTCCACCGATCGATGAGCGAGGCTGCGGCGGTGGAAGCTCGAGCACAAGGTTACTCCATAGGATGCAAATGCTTTATGACTGGCCTGACGATGCATGGGTCTTCAACTCAGGGTTGTCTTCAGCAGAAGTGATAATTCTACGACACAGAAGTTGAGTAGGATGCCTGCTGAAATGACACAAACGTCGTTGTTCGAGTAAGCCATCACCTTTTCCGTGTTAAAACATCCGCAGATGAAATTTCCACACTCTCTCTAAAAGGTGATGATCAGTCCACTTTGTCTTCAGAAAATCTAAACATAAACGCATGTGCAAGGGGCCTAAACAATATCTAAATCAGGTGACTTTTTGGACAGTTGTATTACTGCCATTTCTAGTTCTGTTGAATTGAAATATGCAATGGGACTATGAACATTATGACAGCACAGGGAACACGGCGCGCCAGGAAGCTCCAATAATGGACACAATAAAATGTTTAGTGAAGGGTAAAGATACAGCGCACAAATCGCGCTTAAGGCGAATCTTTGCATAAACGAAGTTAACATGTTGAGTTACAATGTAAAGAAAAACTCGTTCCAACACTGGTCTCGTCCATTGATGTGGAACTGACATCAACACGACCTGGGTATACATCCTTCCAGGCACAACAATAAGTTTGCAGATCCGAGCACAACGCCATTCTTATTTCGGATGAAAATTAGGGTCGAAAGAAATAAAACAACCAAGATCAGTAGCAAGCATTGCCTCACTTTGTCCACCAGTGAAGGAAATCCTTGCGCCTGTTGATCTTCTTTTGGAGCTGGAGGACACCATACAGTAAAGCTTCAGCAGTTGGAGGGCATCCAGGGACGTAAATGTCCACAGGAACAATACGGTCGCATCCACGCACAACAGAGTAGGAGTAATGGTAGTATCCACCACCATTGGCACAGCTGCCCATGGAAATAACCCACCGAGGCTCAGGCATCTGATCATAAACCCTGTGGAAGAAGTTACCAATGCCATTAGCATTATAAAATTGTGAGCAGGTAAGAAAGGTTGAATGGTCTTTTGACAAAACCATTCCTAAATAGCAAAAGGCACAACAGAAGTTCTTCACGAAATCTTAAAAAGCATGTTTGAAAAAAAAGAAGAAGGAAGTAGCACCCTAAAATTAATAGCAGATAACCAGAGGATACACAAGAAAAGCACTGATTTCCACAAAGGCCATGGCATTCATACAACAAAATAATTTTATTTGATTTCAAACACTCAGAACAACACGCCACTCCTTTTGCTGGTTTCTGGACATTTCAGAGAAGCACATCAATACAAACTACACCTTGCTGATCAGAATTAGATTTTTCTTTGCTTTCTAGAGTTATAGATTCTTGGAGAAGCAAATCCATGCTTATGCAAATAATCAGGGCATATATTTGTTTTTTTTTCTACCGTGGAGCACTATATTATTTTTTGAAAAAATTGGTATCGAGACAAGCAAATCTTAAATAACCTAGGTACAAGTGTTGTTAAGGCATAAGGTGTTTTGAGGCAACACAGTTGCACACCACCGCCTCAGCATCATAGGGCATGAGGTGTTGTGAATTGTGATGTCATATGAGGTGACTAAGGTGTGATTAGTGGAGAATATTGTAGAAAAATCAGCAAGAGCAAAGGGGAAATTGATAAAAGGCCCAATAAGCCAAGCAGCCAACCCACCAAAGCTAACATTAGCTTCATACCCACATGTTCTACGTATGCCCTAAGAGGCATCATACTCCACCAGCCACCAGCCACCAGCCACCAGCCACCAGCCATCAGCAGAGGAGGCACTAGCCGCCATCTGGCTGCCGACCACCTTTGCATGAGCTCAACATCTCAGGCTGCTACCACTGCCATGGCGCCATTGGCCCATTAGAGCTCAATGCCTCTGCTCACCTCATTGTCCGTCGCCGCCACCAGAGAGATTCAAAGGCTCCAGCAAGCTGCAACAACTGCGATCTTGAGCTAGATCTGATGGTAGTGGCATGGGATCTGCAACAACATATATCCTGCAACCGCCTTTACCACTATGGCGATGCCATAACAATGCCTTAACAACCATGCTATGTACCCACAATATCTAATTCACCAGCAAATATGTTTTTTCACTAATGAGTAATCGACAACGTAAACATCAAATCAATTTATGTTACACATATATCCTGGAAGTCAAACGCAATGCTTTAATTAAGTTAACATTTAGCACTACTGAAGCTTGAACGCATAAGCATTCCAAGTCTGATCCTCCATGAATGCATAGGTCCTCAAATCAAATCCAGCAAGACTTTAACACCAAGCCATCAAATCGGGATCCACAGGCAGTGGTTTATGGTTCTAAAATCAAATCCAGCCAGTGTTTAACACCAAGCCATTGAATTGACCCTATATATTTATCAAGTCGATTTATCCTCTCAAATATCTGCAAGGCCATATAGGGCGTATGCTAAGTTATCCTAAGTTATGGTGGGTTGAATGATCCACAATCTTCATTGGCATACTTTGAATCATGCCAAAATATTTAGACTAATGCACTATTGATGCTGGAAGGAGGTTTCAATTATTCACCGCACTATCCCATTTGTCCTGTCCGGGCATTCAGAACATTGGTGCTTGTGTCGAATTTGTGGCAAGTTTCCAAATGACATTAAAGGTGGGGATTAAGGCTTTTCGGATTATGGCTTTTCTACACTACAGAATGACATCACATTAGCTATTGAGTCTTTTTCACCCTGGCAAGATAATTTCCAAGATCTAAAAGCTGGGCAACACCAAATTCCCAGATCGGAACACAGGAACGCGAAATCTGAGCAGCCGAGGGGAGGAAGGTGGTACTGACTTGCGGAGCGCGGGCGCCATCTTGTTGGTGAGCGTCCCGGCGACGATCATGCAGTCGGACTGTCGCGGGGATGGGCGGAAGATGACGCCGAAGCGGTCGAAGTCGTAGCGGGACGCGCCGGCGTGCATCATCTCGACGGCGCAGCAGGCCAGCCCGAACGTCATCGGCCAGATCGACCCCCTCCGCGCCCAGTTCATGAGGTCGTCCACCTTGGAGATCACGAACTCGGCCGCCTTCGACTGGGGCGCCGGCGGCGGCGCCCCCGCGTACCTCGCCGGGGCTGCGCCCGCCCCCGTAGCGGCCGCCGAGTACGCCCGCGGCGCCGAGAGCAGCGCCAGCCGCGCCGTCCGCGGGAGCAGCGCCATCGCCGTCGTTCGCGGTAGGGTTTCCTCGCCGCCCGCGCGTGGAGGAGGAGGAGGAGATCGAGGCGGATCCGAGGAGGTCGGAGAGAGAGAGGAAGCGTAGGAGAGGAGAGGCGATGGGTGGTGTGCGTCACGACGCGAGAGAGAGGCCGGGCTGCGTGATGGGCCCAAACCCAACAATAGCCCGTTCCATTGTGGGCTTATCTCTCGACGAGGCCCATCGTTTGATGGGCCGTTGCAAAGACGAAGACGACGTGGGCTGAAGCTGGCCGTCGCGGCCCACTCACCGGGAGGTCGCCGTCGTCGAGGGTCGGAATCGAGTAATGGGAGGGTGGCACGTGTGTGAACGGCGAGCTGTGGGAGCCAGTGGCTGCAGTTCAATGGCGTCCACTGCACCTTTCTCGTGGATCGACGAGGAGCGCAACAGAGAGGGGAGCAGAAACGATGCCCAGCATATGCCTAGAATATGTGCCTAAAATTTGGTGAGAAGCTGAATCCGGTGGCGAACCTGCCGGGGAATATCTCTTTCAATCAGTGTCCAAACTTTCAGGTTCACGAGTACCGGATACGCGAAGATATCATCGTATCTTCTCGCTCGGTGAAAGCGCAGGAGATGGCGGTTCCGCCGCCCGTGTGGCGCTTTCCGAATTGCTAGATGAATTTTCTCGCGCCACATCTTTGCTAAACATTCGAAATACGAATATCGAGCTGTGGAACATCTCAAAATTTCGGTAAGAATATGGAAATATTGGACCTACATGTTAGGACGGTAACTGTGCGGTTGGGCATCCGCAGGCAGCTAAACTGATCTAGTCTATTAAGCTAAAAATATGAGATGAACTTATGGGTTGGAGTACGGTATCCAGCTTGCAAATAATAAGCCTGCTCGGTACGTTTGAGCTTGTCATCTTAACAAGCCATCTTATCTCGGCTCGGCTCGGCTCTTTATCCTCAACGAGCTAAAAATCTATCTCGGCTTGGCTCATAAGCTGACCTATTAAGCTTTTTTAACATATTATTTCACCTTCATAATTTCAAATTTACTATTTTATCATAAATAAATAATAAATACTACTACCTAATAAATAATTTATTAAATACAGTTATTTTGAATGTAATTAAGTGACTAAACATTAGTTGATAAGCACTAAAAACTATGGTGATCTATTGTACTAACAAGTTAAACTAGCGGCTCGCAAGCTAGCTTGTTTGATTCACAAACTGAAAGCCTAGCTTGCTTAACTTTTTTAAGACTGCAAGTTCGAGTTGATCCGAGCCACAAGCTTTTTTTCC